CTTTAAAGTTGCTGGTATTGAGTGTTTTCATTTTTTGTGGTAGTTGGTTGTAAAGATGAAAAATTTGGTAGCTGAATGATCGTCTGAATAATTCTGTTTAGAATGGAGGTACTGTCAATAATCCCTTGTGCCTAACATTAAGATTATGAATATCTGTTCGGAACCTCAACTTTCGATGCAAGTATCGAGGTTTCTTGGTAACGATGATCTTGTGAAAGAGTACAACAGAATGAAAAACTCTCCTATTGTTCATATTGAGCCATCCAATTTCTTTGAGTTTATGTGATATTCTTTGCCGTCGCCTCACACCAAATATCAACCGTAGACAGCAGTTTTGCACTTTCTGTATTTTATTTTTGTATTGCAAAGTGAGATTGGGTCCATAAAGAATATCTGCATAATTGAATATTGACAGTATCAGTGATTCACATAACATTGTCTTAACACATGATGGAAGAATTTGTCTATGTCCATAAATAATTTTGAGAGTTGCATAAGCGCGTTGCAAAAGTCGGTTGATATGTTTAGCAAAGCGCATTTCAGTATCTAATAGAACATCAAGATTTTTTGCTTCATCTACTAGCGTGAGCGGTTCATTATTGATAGTGATGTTCATAGAATCAGACATCGTTTGTGTCAGGTTCTTGGGACCAAAGAGCATAACATTTGATTTAGATGGATTAATAATTAGGCAATGGTCAGTAGCAGCTTCTATGAAAGCATTCAAATCTCTAAGTATGAGCTCACAAGCAATGTCTTTCTCTGATTCTGGAAAGCTGTAATATAACTGAGTATCATCAGCATATAAATGAGTTTTGCAATTTATCAGACATTCGATGAGACGAGAGGTGTATATGGAAAACAATAGCGGCCCTAGGATAGAACCTTGTGGTACACCTGAATTGAGTAACCGGCATTCGGAACTTTCTTCACCTAGGCATACTTTTTGTTGTCTATTTTTCAAGTAAGCAGCCATCAACGATAGTGCGTCATCTGCAAAACCTATGTATTTTAGTATATTTAACAACAAATCATAGTGAATCGTATCGAATGCCCTACTAAAATCTAGTAGTATCAACAATGTGCATTGTCTGTTATCGGTAGCCCTCAGAATATGAATATGAAGAAGAGCAGTTGTGCAACTGTAACCTTTTCGAAAGCCCGATTGTATTGATGGTATAAGAGAAAAATGTTCTATGTGGGTTTTGATTTGAACTTCCATGGCTCTCTCGATTACTTTTGACGGAGTTGGTAATATACTAATTGCACGTAGGTCTTTGAATTCAGTTGGATCTTGTTTCTTCGGAAGAGCTTGCACAACTGCTGTTTTCCATGCTGTGGGAAATACATTTTCTGTTAAACAGAAGTTTATAATATGAGTGATGTACGGCACTATGTGAGGACAACAAAGTTTGATGAGTGTGATACTCAAACCGTCACAGCCTTTCGCGTTAGTTTTAATTTCACAAATAGTCTTGTAGACAAAATAATCATTGACTTCACTGAATTGAAAAGAAGAATCAACAAGTTTGTTGTTGCCATAGAATTCCATAAGATTTGCAGAAGGCTGGTTGTGTGGAATTGAATCTACAAAATAGTTATTTATGTATTAAGGGAATTATGAGGGCCTTAATTACCGATGGCAAAGTTTGCGTCCCGAGGGCCTCTGGCCCGAGGGACAGCAATTGCCAGAGGTTATTGAGGCTCTATAATTCCCATGATACATAGATAATTTTATTTCTGACTGATTTCATTCATTAGATACCTTCCCGATAGGAAGTTAGACATGTTTTTCCGTATAGTTTCAATGTCATCAGAACGTCAGATGATGATCTTGACTACCGCGAATAGGAGATTCCTTATTGCTACGTTATTGCGTGGTTGTTGCTATGCATTTCTTATTTAATTTTAGCTAGAGGGAATTATAGCATCTATAACATCCCAAGGGAGTCATGACCCTCATTATAGATATCGTAACTATGACGATATAAGCTTATAATGTCACTGTCAGAAATAAAAGTTATTTATTTCAGTTGGATTTTTCAAACTTGTAGGAATATCAGAAGCTTTTTTCGGACATAAGCCCGTTTGATTTAAGGATCTTCCACGTGGCTTTTGTAGATTTTCCATTGAACTGATGTGTAAAATATGCTTTTTTTTTTTCTTTTTATAGCTTGATTAGTTAAGTTACGCATTTGTCTATAGAACTGTAGATGAACTTCAGATTGGCTCTTTCTATATTTCCTGAGAGCTTTATCTCTTTCAGACATCATCAGTTCAATGGTACCTGTTAGCCATGGAGCTCTGGGTTTGGTTACTCTGGAGGTTGTTAGAGGAATATGTCGATCAAATAAATCATTTAAACAATTAACCAGATATGAAACTTTTTCATCGATATTTTCTTGATCATATATCTACTCTTCCTTCTCCTAATTCTCTTTTTCGAACCTTCCTGACCTTCTGATGAAGGTCTGTATGTCTGTCCACCTTAGGTTAATTAAATCTTCCAGATGAACCGTATACCAAAGTACCAAAGATTTCGAATCTTAGCCTTCCATACGCCTTAAACTTGCTCAGGTAGTGGTATGACGTTTCTTGAAAAGGCATTTTTGCGAAGGTTAATAATTATTTACTCGCAAACGGTAAGTATATCTGTTTTTTTTAATCATAATTTTCTACCTACCGAAGCTATTGAACGTTCCAAAATCCGCAGTTGGTATGTATTCACTATTTTTGCGAGGCAGAAAATTAAAGATTCGAAAGCATGGGGAACAATAATATGTACTTTTCTCCTGCAAAAAATCCTAATATGATTCCATGAAAAATGGACCCCTTCTTTATTCAATAAAAACGCACGGTGCCATCCAAAAAGATGTTCATCTCTGAAAAACTGATCATATTGATGGTGGTTCATACCGGTCAATATTCGGTACGAATCGAACGACTAATAGCTGAGATATGGGGGGGGGGACTTTTGAAGTGAAACATGTATAATGGGCTTATATCACAAAAAAAATTTATTTCATAATTCGATAGAACTCACCCAAACTAGCTCACCACCGCAAACCGTTTCTTGCTGTGAGCTCCCTACGTTTTATTAAAAATTATTGAAATCCCCGATTTTTCGGACCTCTGAAAACGAGGCGATGATGTGACGTCAAAACCCTAATACTGAAACAAGCCTATTCCAGACAGAGATGATTGATACATGATTTCTGACAAATCAATTCTAACCTAGATTGACTTTTTGCAGCTCCATGTGAAACGGGTCAACAAAGCAATGTTGCTATGTTTATGAAATATATTGGATTATTGTGAAATTGTAATGGTGCAAATGGTTTTGAGATTGAGACATTTCGTTGTCTAGAGATTGTTTATACTCCAATGATTCAACCTACAATCGACAACTCGAATATATTTTTCTGCAGTAGTGGTAGTGGATATCAAAAGATATTTCAATATCGATTTCGATTTCTCGGATATTTTGTTTGGATGATATGGCAACAGTAATAAGTGTCAGGAGAGTGTCAGTTTCAACCATATATCTACTATTTCTATATATGGCGCATCGCCTATACGATATCTCAACAAAAATGGGACCAAAATGAGAGGTACTCTTTGAATCTATGAGAACGAAAAGTGAAGGATGGAAACAGCCATATTGGTTTGACAAATTTCCTATTATTTTTTCCCAACGTCGGTATCAACGCCTATTGGTCGATTTCATTACCTATACAGAAATGGGTCCCGCTTTGAGGAGAGCTATGATTCATATATCAGTAGTAGATATATATGGTTTATATATATATATGGCGAGATGGGGTTTCTACGTCATAAGAGGGTCTCCGTTTTCACAAGGTACTATCATTTATGTCCAAAAATAAAACATTCCAGTTAATTTTTCGATCGAATTATGTCGTCAATCATTATTTATGTATAAAAGGATCATTATAAACATGGTTTGAGTTAAAAGTTCTACTAAGGTGTACACGCCCATTACTATTAGGTTGTATTAGGAAGGGGGGTATTCTTGAATCTCATTTTTATTCCTTAGTCATCTTAGGCTTTTGGTTCCAGGTGTGATAAATATTTTGTGAAGCAACGTCCCATAACAATTTAGAAGTCAATAAATATAAAAATTACAATTTGTTGGCCTAATGGCTTCATCTTTCTACCTTATGGACAAGTGTATACTCGTACTGTTGAAGCTACGATATTCTTTACTATACCATGGTGTATAACTATTATCTGCGATAGATTTCAGTGGTGCCCAAATATCAGCATTACTATGTCATCTTATCCACAAAACGCAGATCTGTACTTATGGTTTCCATATTTGATAAACTATCCATGTCATATACAGTAAATAGTAAAAGTCTATGAGCTGGCTGCAAATTTTGACCGTCATCTGATAATGAAATGATATGTGTCCCAAAGGCATGTAAAAACATTTCATTTTATCAAACAGCACCCGTGTCGATCACTATCCTCATCAAAATAATTAAAAAAAGGCACTTTCCTGTGCGTTAATTTGCATGTGATAACGAGTTGAAACAAAGGCAAATAAAATGGGATAATGTCCCCTTTGCGAATATCCAAACGTGCCGCGATTCGATTTGATCTAAGTTAGTGACAGAGTTATTTCGGCCCAGGCCAAGAATGGTTTACTTGTAGTACCACTCTGTAGCGTATATACTTAAGGGTCTGTACGTGTGACTATAGATGGCAGCACCATACAGTGTGTGTCGCGATCTCTTGATCCTACCTTAGAGCTTTGCCACTAGATAGCTACAACATGACTAGAACTTCATGTTATACCCTGCGTCCTAATTTTTTGTTAAATTTTTTAGATAAGATTTCTCGTTGATTTGAAGACTCAATAAAAATCGAATAATTTGGGAATTTTTGTTAGACTAAAGCGTATTGTGTATTTATTTCGATAACTTCCTGTATAATAAAGCTTTGTCGGTTCGTATAACTACTACAGTTTATATTTCCAGGTGGTTCATCAAATCATGGTACATATAATTACAATGCAAGGGTGCCTCAATCGTTGGCTGTTCCTGTAAACAATACAAGGGTACTACAAGTTGTTCATTCATCTGGTGCACCTATTGTACGCAATGCTACTGTACCTCCAGTCGTAACCAATCCTGTGAATAATGCAAGCGTGATAGAAGTAGAATCCAGTTCGGAAAGTTCTGACACTCATTCAGAAACCGATTCGGAAGCATGGAGAGACGAATACGATAATGACGATTGGTATGATAATCCTTATGTCCTTTGATGAAGAAAAAATATCATTTTGAAATATTTGAAAGAAAACAACTACTTTCCTGGCTAATACCAAATAATGTTGAATTATATCAGTCAAATATTGGAAATACCTAATCTAGAATCACAGTTGGTAATAAATTTCGGTGTCACTATTTTGGAGAGCTTTCGCTCCCATATATGACTAAAACTTTTCTTAGCTTTTTTTATGTGAAACAACCCAGATATCTGCTGACCTTAAAGCTTTTCATGAACCTGAAATTGTATATATTTTTTATCCTTTGGAGCGCACGAAAGGGAATCCCTATAATGTTCGAAGAACATCGTGGGTACCTAGGGAGGATAAGGAGAGGAGGTAGGTATTGGATTTTTTTCAACTTTTGGAGATTATGAGTTCTTGGGAATACTTTTTTTTGTCGAGGTGGTTTAAATCCGCAAAATATCTCGATAAATAGCAGTTTCTCACATTTTAATTGTGAAATTCGTGTTAATCAGGCGAAAATACGTAAGTACCAATAACATCTTTCGAGAAAAAAAACATCACATGATAAGGGCATATTTACCGCTTGGTGTAACATAATTCCTATGACTGTGGCGGCAACCAGTTCGTCGATGGTAAAATTCGGCTGAGAGGCAGCGGCCTCACCTTCATCATCTCTCATGTTTGATAACTTTGGATTAATCGGTTAGGTAATCCTTATCCCACTTATGAGCTGTAGGTAGATGGGCAACATCTTGGTTGATTCATAAACTTATTAATTACGTAGTTTTATATTCGCAGGCAGGCTATACGGCCTATAACACTGAACTGTACTGAACACAACACTTGAAAAATGCAATTTTTCAAAAATTGTATCGTTGATAAAAAACACCTCTTATTAGATATTGTTTTGAAAATTGATATGGGAGTATTTGTGGCTAGTCCTAATCGATTAAACGTGTTCAGATGCTTCCTTGTCAAACAAACGGATTCAAATATACAAATTCCTATTATCGTGATTATTCTATTTTCAATGAATAAAGGCTTACAGGAATCACGAATTTTAGTTTAGCACATAAATGTCAGTCCTGTTTTTTTTAATAAAAAGAATAATGTGTATGCAGTTAACATTACATGCACCCCAGGTCTCCGATTCTCGACTTCAGTTGAATTCATTCCAACTGGTAAAGCTTCCCATGTTCGTATTCCGGTGGGAATCTTGAAGAGTATTCTCGACCACGATAGGAATGCTATTTCCCAGTGGAATTGAAAACACGGTATGTCGGTGATAGTTTATGTCCTCAACCAATGAGATATTGATATTTTCCAGGGATATTCTTGTTTTGATTTACGATCCAAAGATTTCAGTTGGTAGTGGTGTATGCATGGTGAAATTCAGGCTGTATATAAAAAAATTGTAAAAGAAAGAATTGGGAAACATTTTTTTCCTGAGGAAGCAATTATTCTCTAATCATGGAAGAGAAAAAAAGTGGACATATGTCTGAATGTCTATTTTGTACTTGAATAAATAGTTATTTAATAATTTTTGAATTTCCTATCAGAACTCTAGTTAGTTTAGTTATTTACCATAAAAAATATGTCAGATACAAAAATATACCATACATGAAGAAAGCTGCTCATCTATGAATTGGTTCAGTGTGTTTGAAAATCGTATATGATGAGATCTACATTCAAGAACACAAGAACAGCACAAGTATCAATTCATTCATTTTGATAAAAAATAAAAAATAATTCCAAATTATTTGACGTTGCGACCTCCTTTCTTCTTGTAAATCAGCATTTTCATGTCTTAATCAATAATGAATCAGTTATACAGTTCCATCAAATGGGTCTCCATTTTGCAAATTTGTCCAAAAATCTCTTCCTTGGTTTCCGGCCATTTCTTCAGCCATTTCAAAAATGTCTTGAACCAGAAGTATCAGCTCATCATGTTTAGATAGTTTGATAACATACTTTTTATATTATACCTAGTACAATGATAATTCCAACCTCAAACTGGACTAAAAACCCATTGGAATTTGAATTCGTGTGGAGAAACACTAAGTGAATATATACCACTGAAATTCATAGGACCACTTTCCAGCGACAAATGTCGAGAATTCTAAATCATAATTCCTATGAGAATTTGATCACTCTTCCCATGGGAAAAACGTCGAGAATCGAGCTCCAGAGTGGGATGACATACCTGAGATGAGACTCAATTAGGGAATAGTAAACGATTCTAGCTGCACCTGATCCCAACTGCTTTGAGACAATCTTGACTGCAAACCAGAAGATATATTTTCTTCTCAAGGCCAGAATGTATTCCTCGAATCTCAACCTAGTATCGATAAACAATCCTTGGAATTTTGTGTTGAATTTATTTTCAATGATATTTGACCCAAGGGGTATGTCCTCAAGTGAGCATCGGAAGTTTAATAAGTATGTTTTTGAATTTTATCATTATCGTCTCTTTGAGTTCACTGCTGTTCTAGGCACGCCAAAATATTGTGGTGTCATCAGCAAATAGTGTGAACTTCCCAGATACGTTGATATTCGACAAATCATTAATATACAACAAAAACGGAACTGGGCCCAGCACTGGTCCCTGTGGATGCCGCAACATCACCATTGTTGAGTTTAGTATAAACTTCATGGGGGTAGGAAAAGATAGCATCCGTTGTATTTTCACCACATTGAAAGCCAAATTGTTGTTAGCGATGATACCATTCTTCATCAAGAATTCTATTACTATTCTTTTTACTAATTAATTATAGAAATTGGTCGAAAATTTGCCGGATTCTCAGTGTCTCCCCCTTTATAGAGAGGAATTAAAAGTGATGTTTTTAAGTCAGGGAAATGGCCAGCACGAAACGAATCATTAATCAGACTAGCAAAAATAGTGAGAACATTGTCTGGGAGGTGTTCGAAGATTCTCGCTGAAATTTCATCGATTCCAGCGGATTTCTGATTATGTATTGGCTTTAGTACTGTTTTTAGTTCATGAAAATCTGTATCATGAAGTAGAATGCTATCCGCAATTCTTACATTTGAGAGGAAATCGAGTGAAGTTTTATCGGACGACAGTTAACTTCTCAGCTATTGCACAGTAATATTTGGTTAGTGGTACAATTTAGGGAAATTTGTTGTGTGCATGAAGAATTTCCTCTGAGCTCATTAATTGATGCCCCAACTTTCAATTGATTTATTTGCAGCCTGCTCGATCAATTCTGTTTGTAGTATAGTTCTTTCACGTGCCTCAACATTTTCCGGTAAATCCTACAGTAATCGCAGAAGTAAGAATAAAAAACTTGATTATTACTAAATATCCTGATATAATTCAAGGACCGTAAGTTTTTTGCAGATGTTTTGATGCCTATGGTTGACCATTCTTTATTCTGCCTAATATTTTATATTATGTGGAAATAATTTATTAAAAATGTATACAATTTTATCATCTCGGTTATCATCACTTCTTGACAAGATCAATCTTGATACTCCTCTCTTTTTTAGGTATGATGATGGGATTCCAGGTGCATATTATGGTGGATATGGCCACTGTTATTCATGTGGTTCAAGAGGACACTGGAGGAATGGGTGCCCTTATAGATGATTTTTCTTCACATTGAGTTACATTGATGATTAATATCCATTACCTCCACAGTTTGTACCTAATTCAGAATCTCTTTTACATGTTTCTTGTGAAATATATATTTGATATAAAAACACATCTTGATATTTCGACATTTTTCCGCATGATGGAAATCCATAGTTATTGAAGATTTCCACTCTTGTGGATACAAAATGATTCACTAACACAGAGTGGTTCCTTGTTGGAACTACTCGTAATATCAATAATAATCAACTTTTGAATATCTACCATGTCTACAAGAAGCCTGCTATTTCGAGCTCAAGCATCTTAGGAGATACAAAATAGGTCCACCCCTTTATTTGTTTCATGAAAATTAAATCTCCAATTCATTTGAGAACACAATGGTGTATTTATTGAGTTCATCTTGTAGAAAACAAGTTGAAAAATAATCACTACCTACTGCTTACTATATTCATCATGGGTACTTTAAAGTAGAGTCAGTGGATGGTATTGTTAGATAAGAGATGACAACTGTTAGTGTTCTTGAATGTTTAGATCTATTAAGTTACACACCTTGCATTGTGACAAAAGCACCATAGTCGTCCGGCGCTTTTTCATTGAAAATTGTTCGAATTTGACAATGAATTTCATGAATATCAGAATTGAAATATAATTTCATAAACTGATGAGGAGAATGAATTGTGGGAATTCGATAGAGAATAGATTTCAATTATTTGATTGTCCAAAGGAAATATCATAACCATTCTCTTTCGGAAAGAATGTTTTTAGGTTCATTTTCAAACACAATATTTAAAAATCCGTTCCTGATTCCATTATAATCATTACACGAAATGTAAAACATGGAGAAAGATGAATTGATTGCGAGCATACATGATGAAATTGAAAATATGAGAACGATACTGAGAAAATCAAGTATATTGCAACGTGATATATCATCGAATGGCATTCTCAATACCAAATTCAGAATTTATCAGTTAAAAGTGAATGCAGGAAAAGGTGGAATATCTAGACAGTTTTACATACAATATTGAACTAGCCACAAGTATATCCATATGTGTCCATTTTGTCCAATTAAAATGTTACATATGCATTCTTTTCACTTTTATAACTGCTCTTCTGCGAAAAGTGTACCACTATAAATGTAATTCGGTGTTTATACCCTATTTCTATTTTCCATCTACGGCTATGATTGATTTGACAGAAAATCTAACCTCTAAAATCGTATCTGACAATCAGTCGCTACTTGGGATCGAAATTGAAAGGACAAAGCAGAATATATGTCTTATTCTTCTATTCACTCAACCGCGAAACACATACTTTGCTCATGTAAATTATCAGCCCGCCAAAGGCTGAATCACCAAGAACAGATCTATCTCACACCTGTTGAGGTGGAGAATTCAACCGCCAGGAAAATTCATTCATCAGAAGTCTAGGGTTAGAGGACCAATACTAGATAAGGGTAATCACAATAGGTCGCAGTGATCGAGAGGTCTCCCAGCATATACGACCTATCTACAATCTTTATTCACTCAAATCATTGTAATGAACTCTTATCTTACTAATGCCATCCAGTAACTCTACTGTAGAGTATTTCAATTAGCAACATATCTTCAGTCAATGTTCAGTCAAAATCAGTATATCAATCTTCAAAAATGCATGTATACAGGGAGTTCGAAAAGGTCATAGCGAAAATGGTAGGGCTAATAGAGTGAGCCAGAATAATGTCAGTACTTCATAAAAAAACAAATTTTGAATGAAAAAATATACAGGGTCTCAATATATGATCGTGACATAGTAGCGGCTGTTGAAATTTCTTGTCCCTTTCCCGTTTTCTACTAATGCTGTTAACAACATTGAAACGACCAAAAAAAGAGTGAGTGATCATATACAGGATCTTTTTACAGTTTTACATACACTATGGAAATGTATCTCAAAGAAAGTCGAGTGCCACATAGGAGTTTGAAAAATAATGGTACAATTCGAAAATATTCATTGAAGAAGGTTCAAAATGTTTTCCGTTGTTCTCCAAACATTTCATAACTCTTCGCCCTTTGTTCACTTTGTAGGAAAGTGGCATTGAGGCTTGCAGCTCGCGGTTGTCATAAAATTCATGTAAATATGCTAAATTTGCACACGTGGTCTGGGCAGTGGTCACATCATATCTTGCCAGGAGGGGGGCCATGGGGCCCATTTCCCTCCCCCCCCCTCGGAAACCTCATGAATATGTTAAAATGTAGGTATTTTGAATGAATGAATAAATTAGTATATGTCTTCATAGCTAGAAACTTCGCAACAGCTCTGAGAAATTGCGAATTTGTAATATCACTCTGCTGTTTGGCAAATAGATTTTCGATAACACTGCCACTCAGTAATTTGCTCCAAACAAAAAACTTAGACAAAAAACAAGCTAACGATGTTGTTAGTATCACTCTTCTGACGCTTCAAAATAAAAGGGATGATATTATAAATACTATCTAAGTATTTCGAATGAAGCCAAACAGAAATTAAAAGAACTGAATGTTGAATTTTCGATGCCGAGAATAACAGGGAGACTGCGGTTCATAGACCGAATCCTACGGTTTCCTCAGTGGATGACCATTACGATAGTAACTGTTTTCATCCCAGTATTATCCTTGATCTGAATGATAGACTATCAGAAAATAAATTGAATCTATACAACCTTCACCTTAGTGTGCCATCAATAACTAGAAACAAAACAGATGAGGAAATATATGAGGTATGAGAAATATACTTGAACAGTTTCCGACCATTGATGAATGATAAAATGTCCTTTCAGAAGATCGTTTCTGAAATGTATATATGGAAGAAAATGAGGGATACTAAGCAAAATATACCAAACAATGGTATAACTGCCCTGAAGGAATGTAACAAACATTTGTTTCCTAACATAAACATTCTTCTGGAACCATTATGTTGCCTGCCTGTAAGTGTTGCATCTTCTGAAAGAAGTGTTTCAACACTCAGAAGGCTGAAAGATTGGATAAGATCCAGAATGGTCCAAGACAGGTTAAATGGATTGGCATTGATGCATATTCATATATAGGGGCATCTGCAGCAGTCTGAATGTTAATGATATCATCTAAAGATACGCTAGGCAGAAGAATAGAAGACTGGAATTTGTTTTCCTTATTTCATATATTTTTATTTTTGTCTGTTTAATTTGTTTTGTTTTTCAAAAGAAATGTTTCCATTCACTTTTGAACCCAAATTCTTCAAGAGAAATATTTTTGTATTCACTTTTTTTATCCAATATGATTTATTACAGAATTTTACATATATATTGATGGAATAAAAGTTTGAACTTGTTTTTTTACACCAGTAATTTCTATACTTGAAAGGAAACTAAAGATTTCATGTTTACTATAATCAATTTTTTTAATGAAAAAGCGTTTGTCTCAGAAGGTCACCATGTAATATCTCTTCCGCGCTAACCTTATTGAGCCGTGACTTTCTATGGCCCCCCTCAAACATCGTCTGGATCCGCCCCTGTATCTTGCTGAAAATGGCCAATCCGAATTTCTTCATCAAGTTGAATAATAAATGGTTCCAACATTACATGTCTACCTTTCACCATTGATAGTGCCATGGAAGAAACTCGGTCCATATATTCGCGTATGAAAAACTGCTAAAAACATCCCAATTTTTGAGAATGTAGTGGAGTCTCAATGAATTTCTTGGGATTCTCAGATCTCCAAAGTTTTGTGAGTTTATGTGTGCCGACGAATGAAACCAAGCCACATCACTGAAAAATGTTAGGTCCGATAACTGGTCATCGTTGAGATCATTTTGGAACCATTCACAGTACTCCAGACGATATGGCGGGGATATCTATTGGCGGAAGTTGCTGAAGTACGCTGGTCTTGTAAGGGTGCATATGCAATATCTTCTTGAGCACGTACTTAGTGACACATCAGATTGTAAAGATATAATCTCTTCAAAGACGTTTGGGGATTTTCCTCCTAATGAAAGGGGGCAAATGAAGAAAATATTTCAACGGCTGTATTTCATGTATAAATTTTAAACGGTTGCCATGGTATCAATGATATTCGGGTAACTAAATTTAGAGTCATTGGATAGTATATTAGTTAGATAAGAGTTCGGACACAGCTGAATTTCTGTCCAATTCAATTTCAATGGTTTGAGTGAATAAAAGAATAAAACATTTATTCTGCCCTTCGTCTTTTTGACTAACTCAACTATGGTAGCGACTCCAAAGATTATAATTCATCAACTCAATCATCTTTGTAAGTTTTTTCGCCACTTTAAACATTTCTTCCAACGCAGAAGCTCCAGCTGTGTGTACCATTATTCATTCGTTTTTGTTAGATGGATGGAATTAATTGGTATTAGATAAGAGTTCAGATACATTGGAACTTCTGTCCTTTTCTATTTGCTATATTAGTGCATAAAATAATAAAACATATACCTAGTCTGCTCTTTGTATTTTCAATTTCCCTAGTAGCACCTGATTGTCACATACGATTTTAGAGGTTGAAGCTAGTTCCTTATTGTATGTTGAAAATTGCGCTCAATTTTCCTATAGATAGGGTCTTGATATAGACGGAAGAGGAAACTCAAATATTAGCAGGTGTTCACAGCATGTGGTACCACAATTATATTTGATGGCAAATGCTTTATTTATTGTTTTGATTTTCCGCCTTTTCCTGCATTCACTTTTCACTAATAAACGCCATTCAATGATATATCACGGTCCAATTTACTTGATTCAATTTCATTACGTAGTTTTGCAATCAATTCTTCTTTCTCGTTAATAATTTTGTTTTGCATTGCGTTCGATGATAATAGTGGAGTTTGTTTTTTTAATAAATAAATAGTCCGTTTTAATAATGGATGTAAGCAGATTCTTTCAAACGGCTTTGAATTTTGAAAATTGGCCTAAAACATAGTTTCTTTCTGATCTGCTGTTATCAATTCTTCTTTCTCGTTGATAATTTTGTTTTGCATTGCGTGCGATGATAATAGTGGAGTTTGTTTTTTTAATAAATAAATAGTCCGTTTTAATAATGGATGTAAGCAGATTCTTTCAAACGGCTTTGAATTTTGAAAATTGGCCTAAAACATAGTTTCTTTCTGATCTGCTGTTATAAGAAGTGAATTTTAATGTATGCCTATTGTGCTAATTTTTTTTTGCCATCCAGGCCATTTTATACATTCTTTCCATAAGAGAATGGTTGATATTTTCTTTATGAAACTAAATAAATGAAATCAATTATCTTCAGAATTACTACAATGCATTACACAGCAGGACATTTTCTTTATTGCTTTTCTCTCAATAGTTTATGAAATTATATTTCAATTCTGTCGTTCATAAAAATGTCACAATGCAAGAGGTGTGTAACTTAATAAACCTATAAATTCAAAAACACTAAGTTGTCATTTCTGTGTCCGAACTCTTATCTATCCAGTGACTCGTGACTCTAACTAAATTAACTATGCTCCTTTCGATATGTGAACGGCTGTTTAGTGATTATGTTTTATACAGGATGGGACGAATTTTTCCCATTAAAAATGGAGACATTTTTGACAGAAGTGAAAAATTTGACATTTTGCTTCCACCGTTTGATTCCTTCATCTTTTTTCTACAAAAATTGTATATTTTTGGATGTATGATAAATTGATATTCATCAAACAGGACGTGAAAAGAAATTCTGAATTGAGAAAACCCAATCACGAATGTGCGATTGAGGATTGAGGTCTATAAAAATAAGTTTCCATCGTTCAAATTTGACCCCCTGGTTTGGGTGAAAGTATATTGAAAAGGAATATTCTCAGATATAATTATGAACATTAAAAAATGGATATATATACTAAGAAATACATTGAGAATTCGCATTCTCTATGTGATATCAATAAAATATCAATTCTTTCTCGGTTTATTCAACAGAAAACAACTACTACTTTCCTGGCTATATGCCACGTCGAACATTGAATTATATTTGTTGAAGAATGGCTGAAAGAATAACTGGACATGAGGTTACTGATGAGGATTTGATATCCGAAATGAGTTGATTCCAGTGAAGTCATATGTTTGTGAGAGATATATAATTCCCATATCACTCATCAAGATCAGAGTTTATACAAGTATACTGTCAAGAAGTACAAATGTCTATGAAATAACATCACTCAAACTCTCGTTCATAGACTCTAGTTCCGGTAAAATTTGCATGAAACCGCTTAGCTTGCGATGCGGGCTAAGCGATACGCCCGGTATTGAGCATTGCCATTGCGGAAAATTGCAATGTTAGCATCGATTCCAAATATAAATAGATTCCGAATCGATCAGCCATTCATTACTGATTATTCATTATTATTGATTTACTCATTACTGATTACTGATTCATTACTATTTGATTATTACTAATCATAATGCATTTTGATAACACTTTACTTTACTCCATAATTGAGTTACTAATTCACGAGTTGCTGCCAAAATGTGTACCGTCCTCCCGACTTTGATCCTGCTGGTCAACCCCATGGTAGATGTCATAATGTAAGTACTGTTTTTCCATGTTCTATCTGAATGGTTGTTTTGTGTTGTGTTCCGTTTGGTAATTTACTATGGTTTGTCTCTGCTACTTTGCCATGTGGCAAGCATTTATTCACGACTTTCCCATTAAATCAATAAATGTTAATTTTATACGAAAACTATCTTGACTCTTCATTTGGGGATGAATATGGTTGGGTGGTGAAATGATCAAAATCCTCTCATCAAGCCAAGCGAGTAGCCAAGTTGCGATCCATAGGAGGGCAACATCTGAGTTGCGACATGTGGTGGACACGCTGTTTGCCAAATAGTCTACCAAAACCATCTGAGTTGCGACAATACTTCTCCTATACATTTCAATTTTCATTTCAATATTGAACATGTTGGTAAGTTATATTTTTATACCATAATAAATGATATTATTTCATCCGATTTGAGAAATAATGTCAATTCTCAATTTCAGAGGATTTCCATTTTTCATTATCTCTTTTTGGATGTTTAACAAATATAATTCAATGTTCGACGTGGCAAATAGCCATGAAAGTAGTTTTCTGTTGAATATTCAGAATGATATATGTGCATATCTTTATATGAAGGAGAATGCAAATTCTCTACTTCAGAAGATTTTGTTTTCAAATTCTTATCGTGTGTGTTCAATAGATATAATGCAATGTTCGTCGTAGTTGTTTTCTGATGAATAAACCAATGAAGAATTGATATTTTTATCACATAGAGAATGCGAATTTTCAATGTATTTCTTTATATATATCCATTTTTTCATGTTCATAATTATATCTGAGAATATTCTTTCTCAAAAAAAGTCGTTGTCATAATTGACATCTAATTATTTTGACAGTATTTAATACTTAGGTGTAACACCATGGATCAGTTTAGTAATAAGTTTGCATATGTATGGACTTTCAAGGTCAATAGACATTTTTTTCATGTAGTACCAATATTATTTTGGCTCACTCTATCAGCCCTATCATTTACGACATGAACTTTCCCGACACCATGTATATGAATACTGTGAGAATCCCCTGATTATTCCAGAGATATCTAATCCAAATCCTAGACACGGATATGTACCGCGCTAAATGATCGATTAATCACGGATTGTCGATCTGTGATTTATTCAAAATATTAAACACGTTACCATGGCAACACGATTTCTCAAACACATTACCATGGCAACGCAGTTCATAAAACACAGCTTCATTAATTTGAGACATGTCCGGCCTGTCAATTGTATTAACTGTCAACTGTTATTTTCGAATTTTGTATCAAAATTATTCAAACAATATTCGTTTGTATCAGAATTCTTCATTGAAAATATATGTGAAATGTCGACGAAAGTGAAATCGAAGAGAATGTTCGCCTGGTACTTGCATATCTCCAAGAAGTGCAAAAATGAAGCATTCATCTTTGAGAACAATTTATTTATTCTGCTCTAAGCATGACAATAAACGTGAAACAAAGGTTAGTAAGCAATGGACTGGACACATCTACAACCAATATCACTTATACGTGTCTCGCTAGTTGCATGCAGTTGCATGTATTATGTTCTCAATTCCCATTCCTTTCGAATTATTTTTTAGGTAAGCAGGAATAGCAGGTATGTTAATGTAATTTTCGGAGTTCGTAGAAAAAGCATAGTATGTAACGCGTTTATAAACTCTACTAGACACTCGTTTATTAAGCACTCGCTCCGCTCGTGCTTAAAATACTCGTTACTAAAAGGCCGTTTATAACACTTGTTACATAATATACTATTTTATGATTTCATGGAACGAAGTATTCTTTAGTTTTATGATCTTCCGTATAATAATGAAATAAATCTGGTCGCGTCAAGTATTTGTGCTTTCTTCAGAATGGAAATGTTTTGATAGAAATCATTCATATTGTAGGTAACCTTATTTGAAATCACCAAATATTGACCAAAAATAAGGACCAGTCCCGAAAAGTCTGGGTTTTCTATTATGTATGAATAGTAGATACCTACTCTTTATAAATAAATGAAACTATTCTATTAGGTATATAGCACATTTTTATTGGCATTATAATTCTTAAATCTTTGGTGTCACAATCTACTCTACTTTAATCATAGGTTTACATGTTGGTTGTTTATGACATTTTAGTATGTGGCTATTCATATAAATCCTATGTTTTGCTTCAAATGGACAAAATTTGCATTTCAACATTTCAATCTGTGAAGGATCCATATGACGAAGGACATGTAAACTGAGACTTGCTTTATGTCTGGCTTCATAAGAACAAGAGTTACATTTAAACATCTTCACTTCCGAGGTGTCTTTGTGACCCAACATATGCCTGTTGACATTTTCTCTCCTCTTGGCCTTGAAGGAACACATATCACATCTGATCCATTCATCCTAAATAGATAGACTAAAGGTTAATGATCAATTTGAATAATTATTTGTTTTAAATCTGCTTTTCTGCCATGTGAAACAGAAAATTTTTTCTCCGAATTCGTTTAAATTTCACGCAGAGTTCAAATGTAATGGATTATTTGGAATACAAAACGTCGCGTAGAGAAATCAATATCACCACCTTAAATCTCATCAAAATTTGCTATAAAAAAGTATTTTCAGTTTTTCTGTATCCGTAATAATAACGTAGAAAAGCGCTATGCTCTCATGTGGTTGCCAACCAACATAATTTGTTTCTCAAGATCAAAGGGATTTCGATCATCATCAATACACTCGTATTATATACGACAACTTCTGAATTCGAACGTCATACTAGAACCATAGGCTAGAACGGTTAACAATACAAGTGACAACAGAATTACAAGCTGCAATAGATCATTTCACGCTGAGAATGCTTTTGACATATTGGATATCATTATTGGTTTTGTCTTTTTTGGCAACATTAACGATTCTGTCATTTCACAAAATGTTCAAATTCTGTCACGTTCAGTGCCGTCAGATCAAGAAAATGTCAGTTCAAATCCAAATCCAAAATCTCGAACTCTTGATGCAATTTAGACAAAGAAAAAGCAGGAAAGCCTGGATAAAAATGTGTGATCAACGGATGAGAAAATATTTCTGAAGTAAACAAAAACTTATCATTCCATGAGTTTCCAAGAAACATTCACGGAAGGAGGGAATGAATAAAGATATTGAGAAATCAGGCAAGGGTTTAAATGAAATCATGCCGTACGAACACAAAGAAGTTTGTAGTATTCATTCTGGTCTAGGAGAGCCTAGACGGTTGAAAACTGTGAAGAGTCCACCAAATTATTCTCCTCAGCCAGGTATTCATACTATTGCTTCACTTTTTGTTACATACAGGGTGGGTCACCAGTAACGCCTCGGTCTCTAGAAGGCTAACCACTCATCTTCTTGGAATTCTTCCTCTCTAGGAAGTTGCATGTCAACATAGGCTACCATTTGAAGTTATTTTGAAACATACAGGATGTCCCCAAAAATCACAAAACACTGAAGTTGAACTTTTTTCAATCGAACACCCTATATATTATTTCATTTCGAGATTCTCCCTGGTGAGCTGATTTCAACAATCCATCATACTTGGGGTCTAGCAGTTATTGAAATATAGGGTGTGAGAAATCGAGATTTTCCAAGTTCAAGAATTTTTTGTGTCTAAACCATTCATAATTGGTCAAAACGGCTCACATGTCCCTATCTCAACTTTTGATCAATTATCTACTGACATTTAATTGAAACAAATACAGGGTGATGGTGCAGAATTCAGAATCTTGATCACCCGGTATATGTCCCAATTAAATATCAGTAGATAGTTAATCAAAAGTTGAGATAGGGACATGTAAGCCGTTTTGACCAATTACGAATAGTTTCGACACAAAAAATCTTGAACTTGGAAAATCTCGATTTTTCACACCCTATATTTCAGTAATTTTAACTGCTAGACCCCAAGTATGATGGGTCGTTGAAATCAGCTCATCAGGGAGAATCTCAAAATGAAATAATATATAGGGTGTTCGATAGAAAAAAGTTTAACTTCAGTGTTTTATGGTTGTTTCGAAATAATTTTAAATGGTAGCCTATGTTGACATGCAACTTCCTAGAGAGGAAGAATTCCAAGAAGATAAGTGGTTAGCCTTCTAGAGACCGAGGCGTTACTGGTGGCCCACCCTGTATATGTACTGATTATCTCGTTTTCAGGTTTGGAGGTGTCTCAGGGGAATGTCCTTGGACCTATATTATTCATAATTTTCGGAAATGATGAGAATTTTCATACTGCTCCCTTGACTTCTTATCTGGTATGTTTTGCAGATGACACAAATATTTTACTGAATGGCCCAGGCACATTATTCATGGTGGAAACACAACACTTAATAGAGCAAGAACATATTTTTCTGAATACAATCTGTTTTTGCCAAAACAAATTGTATTTTTTTCAAGAACAATCACACGATGGAAACACCTGATTCTTTGACTATAGACAATCAAATATTGACTTGTAGAAATGCAGTGAAATTTCTTGGCATCACCATTGATGCGACTATGAAATTGACAAACCATATTGAGGTTTTATGTAAAAGATTAGCTTCATCTATCTTCGCCATTAGGATAATGAAGCAAAATGTGGATAACTATGTCCTACTTACAGTATACTAAGCAGATTTTTACTCATCTCTTGAGATTGGTATCGCCATCTGGGGCGGTAGTCATGACTTAAACAAAATATGTATTCAAAAGAGGGTTGTCCGAGTAATGTTTAATATCAAAGTTAGAAACTCATGTCGTGCGATCTTCAAAGCAAACAGTAGGCTTACAGTTCCTGCTATTTACATTTTGGAAACACTTTAATTTCTAATGAAGCATCCACAATACTTTGAACCTTATATAAAAAGCTAGTATTTCTATTGCACAAGTCATAAAGGTGATTATGACTTCCCTATACATAATAGAGGGTCTACGGAGAAAGGTACAACTTATAGTGCACTCAAATTCTTCAACCATCTACCCCAAGAATTAAAAGCTATTTGTGGGCACATTGACAAGTTCATGAAGTCATTAAAGATCTACTGATTGATTTATACAGTAGATGAATACTTAGACAGGAGAGTTCTTTCTTCTTTCTTTCTTTCTTCCTTTCTTTTTTCTTTCAATCGAATTGCAAAGAACGAATAGAAAATTGAATGAATAACCAATAATACCATCAACATGTTTCCGGATTTGGTGTGGATCGCGAGAATGTGATTTCTGTGAAGGTGTATTGAAAAACCTCTATAGCATTATTTATTTCTCATATTATATGGTCCAAAAATACTGACAAGCTATATTTGATTTTCCAATACAATCCAATACATTATGTTGACTTATATATGCAGGTTGTGTTCCATAGAATATGAGAATCTTCTTTACTTTCTTCGACTTAAACATCCTATATCCTGTATAACATCAGACGGATCCATTTTGTCGTCTCAAATATTCCCTTATATCCAACATTATGGTATGGTTATCATCTGTGAAACAATCAACAGCATTTTTTCAAACTTTTGTCCACGAAGCCTTTCATTCTAGAAGGAAATGCGCTGTTGGATCATCATAAGAAGTAGCAACCTGATATTTATAATCTATCGACGGTTTTTATCTGGATGAGAGTGCTATCAAAACCAGATATCAAATTTAATTTTTCAATTCGACTTGTATTGTAAGAATCACATTTCATTTTCAAATTTTGTGCATGCCATTGTGTCAATGTTGCCAATGAAAGAGAATTTAATTGATATCCCGAATTTAGTTCTAGCTTCAGTCACATTCTGCGTAAATTGGTCTATATGGTCCAGTAGTTAACAATAAAAAAGTAGAGACCCTGTATAACAATGGATGTATCTCATTACATACCTCCGACAATATTTTGTGTCTAACCATATGCTTTCCAACTAAAGATTTGAACTTGGCCTCATAATCACACAATGGACATTTGTGCATTTTCATTTCCGTGCGCTCTTTATGTTTGGTTACGTGATTATTGAGTCTTCCTCTTGATTTAGCTTCATATGGACAGTAATCACACTTGAACATCTGAATTTCTGAAGGATCCTTATGAATCAACACATGCACTTTCAGATTCGACCTTATCCTAGTTTGATAGCCGCAATACTCACAACTGTACATCTTCACTTCCGAAGGACTCTTGTGTAGAAGCAAGTGCTGCCTGAGACTTTCGATATACTTTGTTTGGTGTGGGCACACAGGACATTTATGCATCTCTAATTCAGATGGATCTGAGTGCTTGAGCATATGCCTTTCTAAATGGAGCTTCTGTTTTCCTTCATACGGACACAAGGCACATTTATAGAGAGCGACGTCTGTGTGTACACACATATGTTTGCTCAGTGCCCATTTATTTTTTGCTTCATAAGAGCAAAGGGTACATTTGTGCATCGTTAATTCGGATTTGTCTTTGTGGATATCTTTGTGTATCCTCACATTCGATTTGAATTCAGATTCATATGAACATATATCACATTTGTGAATTACTATATTAGGGTTTTCGTGGTATCTCAAGTGTTTATTGAAATTTTTCTTGTGGTTCGAAACAAATGGACATTGAATGCAACTGTATCTATAATATATTTTACCGTCCAACGCAGTTGCATGGTCGATACTAAAACAAAAAATATACTTAATTAGTCATAGTCTGAAAATGGTAAAAAAATCAGGAAACGTTGAAAATATTCAATTCGAAAATGGTTAAGACTGAAAACATACATCATTGATCCAAAAATGACATATTATCCATTGCAATATTCTTCACACTGAAATTCTTCTCAAATTTTTAATATTGAATTATACATGAGGACGAAAAGTCTGTTGCCAACAGTTCGTTGTACCAGTATATCAGTTAGCAAAACATGTCGTGTGTTTGAGAATTTTGTGGAAATCTTATCGTTTGTGAAGTTGTTACGTTTGCCATGGTTTTCCAAGTAACTGCCGTTTAAATTAAAAAAAAAAAAGAAACTATTAGTCGCTGTGCTTTTTTGAGATACAGTATCTTATTTGCTCAAAAATGTTAATAACCCTATTTCCTCAACGAATAAAGTGAGAAACTACACTAAGAAAATAGTTCTTGTCATTCTAAACCATAAGAAGTGCATTGGTAAGCGCCCTCTAATGGCCACAATAAATGTCCGTATTCGTGTTTCGCGTCCCAAAAAAAACTCCAAATAGCAATTATTGAAGAGATTCGTTCGAAAAGATTTATATATTCTGAGAAATTCTATTTTTATTCTGGTAGGTAAGTTGCTTTGAATCGGCTTAGTTTGATCTCAGGAATATGTGCTGAGATTTTGTACAGACATTTCAGAAACACCCATATATATACTCTACTAGATCCACCCTTGCCTTTACCGTCCTGTAAAAGCATTGAAAATCACGTAAACTAGAGAAGGGACCGTCGACTCAAAAAGGTTTCGTGGTCGTGTCTTGATGTTGATCAATAATATTATGTAACCACCCTATAAAGTGTTTCATTGGGAAACGGGAATATGTACGTCAACAGTAGATTAAGATCAGAAGTATTTCTGAATATACCATAAATTACACCAATACTGTCTTCTCAACCGACATGTAAAAGGTGTTACCTATTTTGTTCATCTTTTTTTGTAGTGTTATAACTCTGTATGAATAAAACCTTACTTTTGGAAAAATTTAATTTGAAATGTCAATATACAGGGTGGTCCGTTTTTTAATACGGAAAATTTAACAGCGTATAGTACTTGTTGAAATAATAAAAAAACTTCCTATGAACATATATTTTTGAACGCTTCGTTTTTGAGATATTGGGTGTCAAAAGTACGCTTCTGAATATATATTTTTAATTAAAAGTTAGAAACGGGAGATAAATTAACGAAATTTTTCACATATATACTAAATTTTTTGAGCTTTATTAGATTAAATAAAAATTATTCATAAGAACTATTCAGTGGCGGCTGAATCTGGGGTGGCGAAGGTAATAATTACACAAATTTTTCGGGTAATTATTTTTCACTTATTTTTCAAGTTTCAATGAAAAAAGCTCGCTCGTTAGATTTTATAGAATTTTTTAGTTTAATAATACTACTTGATATCAATTAGAGAAGGACTAAAAATGTACTAGCTCGGCAACATTGAAGACAAATAGCATATATCCACTGCGGTCCATGACCTCTTGTGGCTCTTCTAATACGTAAATGATTGATTTGCAATGGTTACATGATTGGTTTGGTAAACGGCCAATGCTAACTAGATTTAATGCGTTACAATGTTTATTTCATTGGGTTTAGAGACATGCATAGGTTTGGTTTTTATTTTTCCTTCTGAAACGAAGCTATTAGGTAAGAAAATCTAAGAGGGCAAAAAAATTGTATTTTGAAATGCACGCCCCTGAAAATATTTAACTCATTCATGAACTGTAATAGGTCTAAAAGTTAGTTCATTGATATTTCCACAATAGTTGTGAATTTCATCACAATCGGTTATAGCATTTCTGAGATATCAATAAATATTCGATTTTTTAAAGAAACTTGAACACCCTGTATCTCGAAAACGAAGCGTTTAAAAGTATATGTTCATAGGAAGTTTATTCATTATTTCAACGAGTACTATACGCTGTTAAATTTTCCGTATTAAAAAACGGACCACACTGTATAGAGAGCGCGATTAATTCATAAATCATTGAAAATTATACGCCAACAATCGTAAACGCCAAACAAGGATAAATGAATGGAATTTCGAATGGTAGGGATAACTCTGCATAATCTTTTCCAGAACATTGATATTATTTATAGATTTATTCCATATATCTAATAAATCACGATTTCTATAAATGTGTGTAAATCAACTCTCACGTGTTGTAACATGATACGTCATTTTGTAACGTGTATGTGAGGATATTTGATAGTTTCAATATAAGCTTTTCATCAACAAAAGGAAGCCCGCAAAAAATACCTCCAGGGTACCAAATTTCTACGTACCAAATATCAGTTTAGGAACTGTGTGACTAACTTTTCTCTATATATTTGACACTGTCGAACCATATTTATTCACTTTAGATTTATAATATTAAATGAGTTACTGAAACACCGAAAAATGATCACACAACAGCCGGAATACCATCGATAACAATAGAAACGACAAATGACATCTCTCACTACTATTATCGCCCGCCTACTACGAAACTTTGCGGTGCTGCCACCTTTATATTCAAATAATTCTTACTTTCCTATTTTGGTATGTACCTACCTCACAATAACTAATACATTTAAAATCATAAGTAGTGAATTTCTCAAAATTATGTTATGAGTGTATTATAATGTTTTGAAGGTTGTTCTATTTTTTATCATGAACTATTTATGTCGAGTTGAATAGATCTTTTATCCGAAAAATCCTATTAGTAGGAGAGCCGGCTACAAATTTCGACCGTCATCTGATAACGAAATGTGATATGTTCCAAAACCAAGTAAAAACATTGTATTTGATCGAAAGGCACCTGTGCCAATCACTATCTTGAGAAAAATTATTGTAGAATGGCACTTTCCTGTGCGTTGATTGGCACTCAATTTCGCGATCTGAAAACGAGATGAGAATTATGCCATCCGATACCAATTGAATGGTAGATCTCAAAAACCTACCTGTGCCACCCCTCAATCTGGGTCAAATCCTCTACACAGCTATTTATTTGCTGCCATTATTCCGGACATACTTCCGGCATATGATACCGAGTTGAAACAAAAAGCGAATAAAAGGGGATCATTTCCCCTTTGCGAATATCCAAACGTGCCGCGATTCAAACTGATCTAAGTTAGTGGCAGAGCGTCAATATTTCGGAAAATGTTTCGCCCCTGTCGAAAGATAATATCCGATGGACCAGTGTAGAACTCATGCGGTGCTCGCACTACTATAAGTATTAAAATCGATATAGTGAGCTTTTCACTGGTTCATCAGATATTATCTTTCCAGAGGCGCGAAATATTCTCGGAAATTTTGTCGCTCTGTCAATAACTTATTTGAATCGCGGCAAGTTTGGATATTCGCAAATTATTCCCTTTTAATTGCTTCTTTCTTCAACTTGTTATCGAATAACGGGAGTATAATATCCAAAATCACGGCAGCAAATAATAAATCGCTGTGCCGTGGATTCGACTCAGATTAAGGAGTGGCACAGGGAGGTTTTGGAGATCTAGCATTCAATTGGTATCGGATCGCGAAATTGGGTGCAAATAACCGCACAGGCAAGTGCAATTTTTCAATCATTTTGGCACAGGTGCCGTTCGATAGAAACAATGTTTTTACATGCCTTTGGGACATATATTATTTCGTTATCAGATGACGGTCAAAATTTGCAGTCGGCTCTTGGGCTAAAACTGGTCTATCGGATATTAACTTTCGAAAGGAGCGACATATTCTCGGAAATATTGACGATCAGCCACTAACTTAAATCAGCATGATAAGATTTCCACAAAATTTTGTGAAGTTTTTACAATCGAATAATTGCAGATAGGTTTTTGGGATCTACCGTTCAATTGGAACGGATGACATAACTCCTATCCTATCATTTTGCTCAGGATAGTGATTGGCACAGGTGCCGTTCGATTAAATACAATGTTTATAGATGCCTTTGGGACCTATATCATGTCGTTTTCTATATTGACTATATTCAATCATCGATTTGGCAGCGGTTCCATAGAGGTCCTCAGAATATGATGCCTTTTCCGCAGAATGAGCAAAATAAATCACACTATTCAACTAATTACTCCGAGTTGAAATTGATGGTACGTATATTCAGAATTACCTCGGTGATCTCTATCTGTAATAGGTATGTTCGTTTGTATTGCGGAATATGCTAAAGTTAATTCTTTTCCCATAGTTGTCTCTGTTCATGGAATAATGTAACGAACAGGCCTAATGTAATTCTTCCAATTTCAAAACAGTTATGATGTCACTTGCTGATTGAACCCTTAATTCCTTCTCAAATGAATAAATAAAAAGTGGCATGACATAATATTTACCTCTCATTTTTTTGATTTTCTTCAGTGAATTCTTCTTTTATGTACACGCTTTCAATTTCACTTGTGATTTCTCCGAATCCAAACATTTTTACCGAATGCAAGTCCACCTGACCATCTATATTAGTTCCATGTATTTTCCGATACTTTTCAATCTTCTCTTCAACCCTCAGACAATTTCTCATGAAATTGACAAAATCTGTAACAGGTTTTGTACATTTCGAACATATGAAGTATAACTCGTCATCTATTTTTGCCTGGAATAGGTAGGTATATTAAATTTCTCGTCTTGAATGTTTTTCGATTTTTTTGCGGGATACTGGTCTCTGCCCTCTGGTGACTAAATTGAAACTAATGGCAATAGCAGCGAAAGCACGGTAATGCCGGATCAATTGAGCTGTCAAAAACATCTTGCAAGTGTTATTACTATCAACAGTAGGAACGAAGAATATTCCCGAAAATGTCATGCATGGGGTATTCAAAAAAAGTGAGCAATACTTCAATAGCTGCTTTTATGATTAAAAATGAGCAAAAGTCTATAACATTAGTCAAAACTTCATGAAATAATAAGTCAAAAAGTTGAATGAAGAGAGGCTTATACAGCAGCACATAGAATAGTAGGTTGTTTTATTAGGATCAAAAGTGACACTTTGTTTGACAAAACAATAATTCATACAACCAAGGCTTTCAGAACGATACAGATATAAGGCGGTTATTTCGAATATATGTATCCTTCCTTGACATTAATACAGAGTGATTTAAGTAGGCAACATATTTGAAGCTTTACAACTTACATGGATGAAAACTCAAATATTTGTTCGTTGTTTCAATCGATCATTACCGATCTGGAATATGTCGGCACCAACTTTTCAATTTTAAATATAAACCTCATATTTTATATCCAACTGCAAGTCGGAAAATCATCCTGTATATCATCAACAAGCTCTAACCAAATATTGAAAATACATTTGAATTGAAGAAGTTATCACGGGAAAACCAAAAGTAGATAGGGTCTGGTTGCATAAACCTCTCTATCAACTTACCGAGGGATCAACTCTTCTTATTCATCAGATTAGGCCTACGTTGCTATGGATATAAGCGATTTCAATATTTAATCGTATGAGAGGGTTAGAAAATGGTGCTTCTGGTCTTCCACTATTCTTTATCTACGGACAGTTGACATTGTCACTGTCATATGTGTCTTGTCATCACAGAACTTGCGTTTTGCGTTTTGTGGATTGCCAAAAACGCCACTTGTCCTCTATCATCTGATGATGATGGTTCGTTTTTGAGTAATTATTTGACCACCGTTTTTCGGTTTTTTCAAAATATGGGTTTTGCTATTAAATCGTGATTATGTACGTCCTCATAGGTGCACAGGGCTCCTTTACAATTAACCTGACCTTCAACCGGAGCTTATTTGCACAATAATTTTTATACAAAATTCTTTCATGTTTTTTTTTTCATTCCCACGTGAGTAAATTCTCTATTTCATATATCTTTCATGATTAACTTGTATCATATTATAGGACCTTTGGTTTGTAAGGATTAAGGCTGATGATGGACACATGACTGTCCGAAACATGTTCCCCTAAATAATCTTTCGATTATTAAACGTTGTGGAGATGATTTCGTGTTTTCTAACCCTCTCATCATTACACTCCACTTAGAGAAAAGTATGGACTTCTACATAACATTATTTAATCGTATGTTGAATACTTTATGCAACTAGTCCTGAAACTTCAGTTTTAGTAGAGGCTTTTAAAAAACTTCATTTTTAATCTCTCCCGAAGGTGCTAACTTAGCAAAACTTGACGGGACGATAATAATAAGTGCATTTAACCTTATAGTTACCATATATGTGCCATAAATGTTCCATAAATGTCAACCAGAGAGAGGATTCAAAGGAGAAACATTTTCAATATTATCAAGTTGGAGGAAAATTGGTATAGCTATGAGATTTGTTCACTATCAGACAATGAGAAGGGTGGTTCTTCAAATTCTCAAATTCCATGCAGAATGAGTAGAAACTTTTCAACGAAGGCGAAATAACTTTTTGAATAGAGTTTACTTCGAATATCAAATTATTTTCATACGCCGAATGTGACATGATTTTCTAATGATTTTAAAGCAATCCGTATTTAAATCCGGGAAAAGTTCTGAAATTGGCAATTACAGAGCTATTGCCATTATTTCTGTATTCTCTAAATTGCTAGAGATAATCTTGTTCGATGCAATTCACAATCATGTACAACAAACACAAACTTCTATTTCTGAATTCCAACATGGTTTTGTGAAATCACGTAGCACAGCAACAAACTTGTGCACTTTTACTCAGTATGTGTCTAAATCTCTGGATTGTCGAAATCAAGTTGATGTGATATACACGGACTTCACTAAGGCAGTACCTTGACCGTGTTCGACATCATCAACTACTGAAAAAACTATTTCGTTTCGGAATATCATACAATATTCAATTACTTCTACATTCATTGTTATCTAATAGTAGATTATTTGTGGAATGATGATGGTGTCAAATCATTTACTTTCACTGCAACCTCTGGAGTTCCTCTAGGGTCCAATTTGGGACCTTTACTTTCTCTGTTATTTATAAATGATATTTGTGATTGTATACAGAGTAATAAGCTAATATATGCCGACATGAAAATCTACAGAGAAATCAAATCGATCGAAGATTGCCTACAATTACATAATCTTTCTTTGCTTAATGATTGGTGCATTGAAAATAAACTCTCTCTGAACCTTAAAAAATGTAAAGTTATGACTTTCACACGACAAACAGTACCGATTTCATTTGACTATTACCTGAATACCACACATCTATCTCGAGTTAACCAATCCAAAGATCTAGGAGTAACGTTTGATCAAAAGTTGACTTTTAAATCACATCGAAATTATTATAAGTAAAGCTATGAAGTCTTTTGGACTCTTGATCCGTTCCTGTGTGGAATTGAAATCATTTGATGCACTACGCTCTGTCTACGTTTCTCTGGTGAGAAGTATGACCAGTTTTCGAGCTACAGGGTGTCAATCATTTGATTCTGGCTGTTAAGAATATTTTGCATCGATTTGAATTAACTGCTCTAAGTTGTGATAAATCTTCAGTAGAAATAAATGCTCCAGGTCTATTCGAATAGATCATAATATCACATACAGGGTGATGCATTCCATCATGACAAGGTAATATTTGTGGGAATAGACAAATATTGAAAATATCAGAATTTCGATTTTCACTCAATCACTGAAAACTTGAAAACAAACGGCTAGAACCGGCCAATTATTTGATACACTATGGATCTTGATCATCAACATGATAATTCATATGATTTTCTCTGATACAATGTCCGGTTTGCCATATATAGGATGATGACAATTTGAAAGCTTATAGAATGGATGTAACTCATGTAAAAAATGAGATACATATCACGAATGGTTCATAACAGTTCGTATAATATTTAAAGTGGAAGATAAAATGTCTCATGAAATACCCCCACCAACCCCCTAGGTCACAGCCATCCCAATGCATATCATTTCAATAGTAGTCCCTACTTGTAACACCACTGGAATGCATTTTCACGGAGCTATTCAATGAGGTATCACAATTGAAATGATGCGTTGGGGTGGTTGTTACTCATGGGGTTGGTAGGGGTATTTCATGAGACATTTTATTTTCCACTTTATATATTATATAAACAGTTATGAACCATTCGTGAAAAAATATCTCATATTGTACATGAGTTACATCAATTCTAAGCTTTCAAATTGTCATCTATATATGGCGACCCGGACATTGTATCAGAGTTAATCATATGAATCCTCATGTTGATGATCAAGATCCATAGTGTTTCAAATAATTGGTCGATTCTAGCCGTTTGTTTTCAAGTTTTCAGTGATTGAGTAAATTTTGATATTTTAAATATTTATCGATTCCCATGAATATTACCGTATGTGATATTATGATCTATTCGAATAGAGGGACTCATGAGGTGAAAATTAGACGTGGAGCGTTTATTTCTACTGAAGATTTATCACGACTTAGAGCACATAATTCAAATCGATGCAAAATATTCTAAACAGCCAGAATCAGATGATTGACACCCTGTAGCTCGAAAACTGGTCATAGAATCGATCTGTAAATTGAACTATGCAATAAGGACGCTAATATCTGAAACATTTCAAGTTATCAGAAAAATTAGCCGAAAGCCATTTTCCGTACTATATGTGCAGTGTCCTTTGCAGGAGCGGGAGATACATTTCCGGATAATGATATTAGAAGGAAATATCACTTCGGATTCGAAATGAAGATGTCCAATTCAGAAACTATTCATATTTTCAAATCCCTAGTCTCCAATAAATTTTCTTCTTCTATGTCCTCTACATCCCCTTGTTGGGCGTTTCAAAACCCCCCCCCCCATATTTCAGATGGGGTGGTTTTGGTAGGATTGAGTTCCACCGATTGTGAAGTTTCTCCGAACTATGTCACAGAGGTTTCCTTCAAATCTACACTTTGCGGGTATGACAATGCCATCGTCATAGCCTTAACAGGATATGCCGAGGTCAGTCAGCCCACAGAGATGTTCGTCTACTATGAGACTCTGAATTAAGGGGGACAGAACGCCTCCATGCGGCAGCCTCTGCTAGTTTGGATGGAGACAGTCTCTTGCCCAACCTTCATTTCTGCAATTCTTGTAGAGAACAGTTGGGACATTATTCATCAAGATTATAGATATAACTAAATGTCCGAAGCTGGAAGTCATTTCCACAAATGTTTATTAATGAACGAAATTGGTAGATAACGGGAGAAAAACAACTACTTTCCTGGCTATATGTCACGTGGAACATTGAATTACAACCTCCTGATTTTGTTCAAAATGTCACCTTCCGAGTTGAAAAGGTTATAAAAATAAAAGAAGAACCACCCTTCTAATTGGTTGTAACTACACAATACTCACAAATTGTGGTGAAACATTTTTCAGCATTTCTTTCATAAAAGTCTGTTTATCTTCTTTATTCGCTGGTGACTTTCTAACAACCATACAGAAATAACAGACTCCTGTAACAGTGTCATCTTTGTATTCTTCTTCATACAGTAAGCGCGGTAATTTGATATCTTCGATGTAGACGGACTTAAATTCGAATGATTTTTGAAGATTTTCTGCACACTGACTGCACAAAACTGGTTGATTGGTTACCGATAGAGTCTGAAAATGAAAAAATATAGTAATTTCTCAACTACAGCTGGATTTTTGTACTAAGATTGATATTATTTCATTAATCATTAGTGTTTTATAGTAGAATAAATGAGCTTAGATGTCAATTTATATTCCACCATCATCATGGTAACTTCCAAAATTTTCACCGGTAAATTCATTCACGCATATTAGTGATCAGGATATCGACTTACATGTTTTATGGGCAATAGGTCCAACTCATAAATGTATTTTTTCAGTCTTACCAGTTGGCTGCTAGAGCGTGAAGTCAATGTCAAAGTCAAAAGTCCCGAAATTATGTTGAATATTTTTTTAAGTTGAGGTCTGTTCTTTCGAAAACTTACAGAAAAAATGGTGTAGTCTAAGTAGACAAATAGAATAACTTGAGGTATGAGTAGACTGGAGTAGGCTCGCGGTTTTTACTCCCAATGTGAAACTTTGCGCCATCTTTCACATTAACAGAGGAGAAGATATCATAGGAAATTAAACGAGAATAAGAAGTAAATCTATCAGTAACGCCAATATTGACCCCACGACTCAGAAAAGCATCTACACCATTTCCATCTGTGGCTCTCTGAATTACGAAGACATAAAAAGTCAACATAAGAACGCAAAATATTCTTCTAATAGATTGCTCAAGATGTGACTTATTACCTTGAAACACTGTACCGATCTAAAAGTTGGTTTCTCATTAAATACTGGAGGTGGTGAAAAAAACTGTTTTCAATTTCAAAACTTTGACGCCCTTCATATCGAACGTGTGGGACTAAACCGAAAAATAACAAATACTGTCTGTAAGTTAATCGAAGAGGTGTAACATTCGTTCAACTTCTCGTTTCTACAAAATAAAAATATGAATATCATTTCAATATATGTGTAGTAGGACAAATCAGATGATTTACCCCAAAATGTCAATGATTTTAACAAATTTTTCTATCAGGAAGCCTAAAAGAAAACTCCAATAGCTCGTCAGTGATACTTTGTTTGGAAAAAATTGAAGAGAAGAAATATAGATATATTGAAAAAATATCGAATTTTTACTTAGCTTTGGACGTTTCGGGAACGAATCTGCACCCTTTCTCAACATAAAAATGTAAAATATTTTTCTTCTAGAATTCTGTTCTACTTTAACATTTCTCAGTGTCATACTGATGTTGGCACGAAAAGTGAACCCTTATATCTAGTAATCAGAAAGAATTTAGAATTTTGAGAAGATACATGGGGAATTAGCTAGTATAATATATCCCAGAGACTAAAGTGGACATTTTAATCACCATGTGAAAAGTTCATAGCCTGAATGTAGAGAGGGCTACAATTCGCTGAGGGAATGAAAATAACTTCGGTCTAGTGGTTAATATAATAATTATACACTTTAGGAGCGGAAAAACTAAACTTAAAACAATCAAGGAAATAACTTGGAAAATAATACTCATAGTGGTACCTACATTTCCAAAATGGCAACTTCGCTGACTGATGGTGGTTATATCATATTATCAAAAGCAATATCACGATGTTCTGAATATTCTTGATAAATCTGTTGCTTTATGAGTTAACAATGAAAGACAAAATTATGGGAAAATATTCAGAACAGAATGGTATACTTTGCTAGACTATTTCACAGGCAATTATTATAAATGAAATATAATATAACCAAGGAGATTAATTCTGACATCTACAGCTATAATTATTTTATGTCGAACTGACAGAATTTTCTTCCCTATCCATGGTTGCATTGTTGAAAACACCAATGCTAATAGACCAATCAGAATTGGAAGACAGCTAGTGTTTTCCTGATAATACAAGTTTTCTTTGGCTTGTGATTAGTCATATATGAGTATTTCAGGATGAGTGAAATAGTCATAATATCATATTCTTGTTGACAGCAAAAAGTGATGTGTCTTGAAATAATTGCTATGGAGTTTGAGAAAAAAGTGCTAATATTTTCTTTGAATCCCTGAGGGAATAAAAGTGCCACTTTAGTCCCTCAAATGAGGAAAAAAAAGTAGCATAAAAAAGTAATCTTCCACTCTCTGAAGTGCACTAGTAAATGTTCGAAAACTAGAGAATGGAATAATATGAAATACTCACCACGTTGAGTTGGAGTTCTTTAAGCATATTCTCAACAATTCCTTCCAATGGTTCATAATTGTTTTCTACTAAGTTCAAACATAGTCTACAAGGTGTTTCAGCCATAATATCCATTTCAATGTTGAATCAAAAAATAAAATAACCAAGACACATATTGGAAGGGAAGCACCACTTCAATTTGATTTCTGCCTGGTAATTAATGAGTGTAATGTGTTTTCACATCACTCTCTGAAAAATATTCAACCTTATTATTATGTCTCTTGCAAGAATGCTTCAAAAAATAGGTATATATCTATCAAATCAAATAATAATGAGTTTTTCTAATGTTATAAATACAGAAAATATTATCAGTTATATCATATCCTGAACTGACCTGAAAGATCCCTATCACTATTTCAAATCCTCACATTAGTCACATTGGTTAAAAACGGTGGTTAAAAATTATAAATAGTATAATAATTTATGTTGAATTCAGGAATATTCAGGATTTCTTCTTCTTCTTATTTTGTATTTCTTGGTTTTCTGACTCCATAGGGTGCCAATTTCACCAGATCTGGTAAGGTTTGTATTTGTGGGATATTGGTTGGGTTGAAAGGTAATTTTACCTCCAGTTAATTAGCAGGGTGATTTTGATTATTACATTCATGGATTTCCTCAAAGAGAACACACACCTACAAAAAGACAATCAGTATAGGTAAATCAAGTATGTACATAAAGAATTTCTCATTCATTAGAATTAGTTATCATACAATCTTTTTATATGTTGATATCGCTTTTTTCAATAAAGTCACTTAATATTTAGGTCTTTTAATATCATTTGATATGAAATGGGAGGAGATAGGCCAATGTTAATCAATTTCACATCATAATTTTGTCTATTATTTTAGCAACCAAAAAATGTCTCCTATTTCTCCGCAATCACATTGATTGTTGTCTTTAACTTTAATTCTATAAATATGTTCAGGAAGACAGCAGTGAACCTACTCTAAGTCTCATTATGGAAGTGAATATTTTCCGGTTAAAATATTGACAACCACTGAACCAACGATTTTCTTGGATCTTAGGTTGAATTTCTTTAAATCGCGTACCTCTCTGCATAAAAGATTGGTCCCAATAAATTTGAAATTTGTTTTTCGTTACTACTTTAAGAAATGGCGTCAGATTTGAGTATTGTATTTGATTAATTTTACCCTCAATGTAACTATGACCAGGGATCCAACAAACTTTGAATTTGGAATGATTTATTCCATACCAAATATCTTTTGATTTCCAATATAAATGATTTGTGTTTACCTTTGATTGGTTATTTGTTAACCCAGAAATAGCACTTTTAAAGTCTGTATATACAAGGTTTTATTTAAGTATGTAGGTAGCCAAACTTTAAGGGGTGATTATTTGGGTGATTCTAAGACGAAAAGTTCATAAAAGCATATGTCCAGAAATGATTCATTTTAATGATACAGGGTATCAAAGTTTCAATATAAAATCGGTTTTTTATCAATAACTCAAAAATCTGTTTTTCAATTTTAATGAACTTTGATGATTTTGTTAACAGTATCAAGAAGTTTCTTTTGGTGTAATTACATTCGAAGTAATGATTCCAGTGGCGTCGCAGTGACTTTTTCGATATTTATGGTTAATAAGGCACCTACGCCATAGTTATTTCCAAGTTCGATATTTTTATCAGATTAAACAATCGAAAATACAACTTTCTTGTTCTCTATTACATTTTTGTATATATTTCTTAATTTCTAATGAAATAATGAAACAATTATTTGTCTCCAAATACGCATATAGGGGTCCTCAAATCACCCATTGGAATTACCCAATGAGCTCAATGAGTATTATTCTGAAATTTTGAGACTTCCAGTCAAGAATCAGACTAAATTTTGCCACCATGAAAGCTTATACAAGATAATCATGAAAAACAACAATCAATACTTCCAATTTCAACACCCTATATCTTGACAACAAAACATTTTAGGACCTATGTGTATACTTTCCATCTTTGTACCACCCAAATAATCGCCCCTTGAAGTTTGACCACATACTCAAATAACACCCGGTATAATATAATCATCAGGTTAGTCGTTGATAAAAAGAAATGCATAGTAAATCGCCGTAAGCCTTCAATATAGATTATTTTGGGTGTATTATGCCCCTTTTTTCTTATGCTTTATGAGGGAAGAATACTCCAAAGGATAATCTATCTACAGTTTTGGAATCATCCGTAAAAATAATTTTATAGTTTGGCCACTTTTCAATAACTAAATCCAGAAATCTCGCATTATTGTTCGTACATGTTTTATGATCTTTCTATATACCTATACTATCTAAAATTTCAAATTTTTCATAGTGACACCTTGCCGGAATATTAAATAAAATATAATACACATTCTTCATTCTATTTCTATTTGAATTAGTAATTTTTTATTCAACCTCGATCAGTTTTTCAATAATAGGGTTTGATTTGATGGACCGATGTTTCATTATGAATTTGATTGCATTCATATTTTGTTTGATGTCAATCGGTAGTTGGTTTGCCTCTACCAAAATTGCATGAGTTGGAGTTCGCATCATATATTCTTAATGATTTCAATTGGGAACTAGATATTTTTCTATATTACTTTTGCTGGTATTTCCATGCATCATTAGACCATATTCGATTCTTGAAGATATAAAAGCATTATAAACATTTAGCATTATTATTGAATATTTGAGAATATTCATTATTTGATTGACTTTACTTATTGTATCAAACGTGTTTTTTCCATGACATTTTTCTGTCAAATGTTAATCCGAGTATTTTATGATATTCGACCACTAAAATTATTTCGTTAGAAATTTTGATATTTATATTTTCTTGGAGGTGGCTTTTGGAGAAGACAATGCTTTTCGATTTTTCAGTAGATATGGAGAGACCGTGTTCTTCTAACCAGTTTTCTAATGACACTAATACTCTTTCTTTATTATGTTTTGCAAGAATGGGGTTTTTGTCATTTCTATACAGGGTGCTCTTAAAGACATGCTAAAATTCAAGGGGTTGATTTTTCAACTCATTTCAAGAAAAAATCTTTCCACTAACGTATGTCCTAAAAGTCTCAACTTATGAGATAGAGGGTGATGAAGTCTCGGATGAAGTTTTGAAAAAAAAACAGTTTTTAATGATAACTGGGATAATATTGTTGACATCTTTATGAATTTTGGTATATATCTTCTATACAACAAGGTGCATTTTTTGATGTACACTTTTCCTTTTCTCTACCAGTGGCACCGTTAGGGGGATATGATTGTTTATATTATAATTGAAAGTGAGCAACCAAGAATATTTCCAAATTTAATAAAATGCTATAAAAAGGATTCAATTTTTAACAAAAAAGATCCTCTTGTTGATACCCGATAGGACGCTCCGTTTTCGAGAAAAAACGAAAAACGAGATCAAACTTCAAATTTTGATGTAAATGCTAAGCTTCAGTACTCCATTCAGAACATCCATTACTGGATAACTATAGTATGTAACATTTTGAAATTTTTGCACTTTCAGTCACATAGCAGAATAAATTTTCCCATCAGGAAAAGCTATACAGGGTGGACAAAAAAATAATCTATGTATATGTTCAACTTTGATACCCTGTATCTCAAAAGTTAGGAATTTTACGACATACAGTCGTATCAAAAAGAAAGCGTACAAGTATTAAACATAGAAGATTTCGGCATCCTATTTCTCGTTGTGTAAAGTTGGCTCAGCCAATGCTTCGTGATTTTAAGAAACTATGATTACTCTACTGTCAACATTTGGTAAACATTCATTCCTGATAGCCCGTTTTAGGCAATTAGGATTACGTAAATTTCTCACTCCAATATACTTGTACTTTTTTTTAATACGACTGCACGTTTATATGAAGTTTGATTCTTGAAATGGGTCCAAGAATCGCCCTGTATATTTTAATGTCATTTGCATACTGATATACTTACAATGTGGGGGGGGGATAGAGCGTCCCACATGGTTAATGTACAAAGATTGAATAGGATTGGACTGAGAACAGCACCATGTAAGCAAGTTCTAGGTCCCCATGCATTACGATTAACCGCCAGTTTTCTCTTTTTTCGCTTCACTTTTTATGAGATCTATGTAAATATTGAACAGGGCTTCTGTTGTACCGATTTCTTTTCGAAAACCAAATTGAATTTATTGTGTTCTACCCAGCATTCCGACCGATGTTCAATAAGATGTTTAAAAGTTTTTTTTTAAACATGATGACAGTGTCATAGGTCTGTAGTTATTACAGTAATTACAATTTCATTCCATTCTTTAGGAATATCAATTCTGTTTCACCAAATATCGTTGTAGGAACTAATAAGCCATTTGAATGCTTTTTTTGGCAGAAATTTCATCATTTTATAAGTGATTCAATATTTTCCCGGAGCCGATTCTTTCAAGTCCCCAATTATGCATTTTGCCTCTCTTTCAGTGAACATATAATTAATATCTTTATTCATTTCAGTTTTATCTGGTACAATCGGAGGTCTTTGGATGTCAACTGGGCAGAATATGTCTAAATGGTGCAAAACATATATTCCTATCTATTGATTACAAAATTGTTTTTTTGGTGTTTGAATGACTTAGAAATTTTTTTCACATTTTTTCATACCGACTAAATGTCGCTCTCCCTAGACAGGGATTCTGTAAAACTTATGAATGCTATTTTCTTTTTTCTGTTAAATAATCTTCTATTTCTAGCGATTTATTTTTTTAATTCAAAGAAATTCTCTGCATTCTCTCGTTACTTGATAGAAATCCATGACAAATGTAAAAACTTTCATGAAAAAGAAAACAAATTCAACATACGCCAACCATATATCAGAGGAAAACCATAGTTTCGATGATAATTTCGAAATTCTGCACGTAGAAAATAAAGGACTGAAACTGAACATTTTGAATCATTAGAAATCAACATACTAAAAAATTTTGACATTTTACTTGATGATCAATTAGACCTTGATAGTTCACCACTGTTGAATTTGTTTTCTTAGTAAGTAATAATATGTATTTGATATGAACTCTTTCAAGTTAATCCGGTATACCATAATTTGATGTAGATATTGTGCCTAAT